AGTATATTATTAGAAAATGAAAGTAAATCTAATTTATGTAGATTTTTTAAATTATAGATTATGTTTAAATAAATAATTAATCAAAACCCTATTTTAATTATCTTAGCTTCCTTGAATACTGGCTGTAAATTTCTATTCATCTATGGTCATTATTTAATCAAATAATTAATCAAAAGCCAATTTTAATTACTTTTGCTTCTTTTTCTTGTTTCAAATTATTATTTATCTATAGTCTTTATTATAATTGTGTTTAAGGATTTTTTTTAAATAAACTTAATTATAATCCCTGATCATTATCTGTTAATACCTCTTCTTCAATAATCTCTAAATTCTTATTCTCATTAGTGATAACAGCTTTGATTGAGTTTGCTTTTTCATCTTTAATCATTTTAAGAAAATCTGTTTTTTATTTATTTTCTGTGCTATGTGTAATATCTTAACTTTTAAACAATTCACTCTGCTGAGGATATATATCCTAAAATTGAGTGATGTCTGATGTCATTAGAAATTTTTGAGTTGAAAAAAAGGATTGTTAGTTTTGAAATGCCATCATTTTTTTCTAACTTCTAATCAATTAAAATTTCCTTTTCTATTTCCTCACATATTTAACAATCTTCCTAATGAATGAATGCAAAATGAATGCAATGTTAATTAATAGAATAGCAGCAATTATGAAAATAACTATCCAACCAACTGTAGTCTTTATCGTATAGTTAGCAATTTAATCCCCTAATAGCATATAGCAAGTGCATGTTAAAAGATAAAAACAGTTATTCATTATTTCTAACTTATTACAAATTGGCTTATTAAAGGGTTTTGCTTTTATCAAATAAATAAGCTCAAGTAAACAAGAGAATTAGTTGAAAAATATTTAAATGGTTGGATATTAATTTAGCAAAAAAATTGACAAGCAAAATAAAGCTCTTCTAAGCATGAACCAAATTCTTTAAAGATAGCAAAATCTATTGTTTCGTAAATCATCAACCAATGATGAGTAATATTTATGTAATGAAGGTTTATTCATTTATGTTATGATAATTAGCAGATTGAATAGAGGAAAAACTATCAATATAATTGAAACACTGAATAAAATATATATGCTTGAATTTCTAGTTTTATCTTTGAAATATAGATATTAGTATAATTAGAGGGCAACTATTATGCAATAGTAAAGGTATAATTCTAATATAAGCCTTATAACAAAATCGAATATAAATTTTTTCTTCAAATAATTGCTGATTCTCTAAAAATATATTATCTTTTTGAGACTCTATAGAAAAGCAATAATTATTAAGATTGCAAAATTTATTAGGAATAAGATTAATTCTGATCCCATATTATCAAATATATCGTAGGTATCAAATCCTAAGAGTTAAAAATTTAGCCCACAATTTATTTCTTCATCAACTTAAATTTAATTCTGATCAATAAGTTTATCTTTGATCTTACTTATATCAAATAGTTAGAGATTTATTGCTTAGGATATAATTTTGAAAAATACAGCTAGATTGAAAGGCAGGTTATAATTAAGCAACGGCAGATATGAGATAAGCTGGAGAATACTGATTAACGACCAAAATTATTAAAGCGATGTATTAAACAGAATTACTGTGATTGTATTTATTCCAAGAGTGCCAGCAAGAGTATAATAAGCATATTTTTAGAGATCTTCAAATATATTGTTAAGCTAGTTTTATTCTTAATTTGGTAAAGGCGATTAATCTGTTACATAACCATATTTAATTCTATAATTTTCTTATTCTATTGCTTTTAGATATTAATTTTTGTCAGTAAATCTTATTTAGATAAAATCAGTAAACCCAGAAAGTGATATTTTTTAAGGATATAGAAATTTTATATTAATCACCATTTTTTTCCCATTTACTGAGATTATTTCAAAATGAATAATTTTGTTGGGCTATGCATTCTCATTTTGAATTAAAATAGGAACAACAATTTTATTTAACTCTATAATTTTAGAAGTATCTAATGGATATAGGTAGTAATTGAATATAACAACAATTTATCCTTTACCATTTATCGATTTAATCCTTGCTTCTAAAACATCAGAGGAATTTTACAAAATGCTTTCGGATTAATTGATATTAGTTAGTGTATAATTTTCAACAATAACAACTTAATCAACTTTCTTACTAAAATTTGCTTTTTTAACATTTATTGTGAATAAATATTTTTACGATAAGTTATAAACAGTTTTTTCCTAAAGCTCAATTGTCATATTATGAATTTGAATTGAAACATTACGCATAAAAATAGTTATTTGTTTGCTTTCGAAAGAACATAAATTTTTAAATTCATCTGAAAAGTAATAATTAATTTTATATTAATCTCCTTCATCATCTTAAATTAGAGGCAATCTGTAAACTAATGTCTATTCTTCATAAATAGTCACATTTTAAAGGCTAGTTATAAAGTATGGTGGAGATTGAAATTAATTAGGCATTACTTGATCGCCCCCAGGTTTATCGTTAACTAATATTTTTATAGTTTAAACGGTTTTAGTTCCATCTTACAAATGGCCATTTTATTAAAAATATATTAACCCAAAGAACTCTCTTTGAGATCGCTAGATACCTTTAACCATAAGTATGTTAGTGTTATAAAAAAAAGTAATTAAACTGGCGTAAAAGTCTTAATTATAGATGGCTGTTATCCTATAACTAAAAACATAAGAATCACAATTTGAAATTTGATGCCATTGATTCATTAGATATGCTCGACGCTCATTATCTATGTATTGATACTGTACTTCTGGGATGAGAGGTAGAATAATCAAAGGCTTTTTACTCTATGGGCATAAAAGATCATCTAAAATTATATCATTTGTTAAGTCAATGTTCTCCTTAATCGGCAAAACCTATGGTTTTAAGTTAGAAATAGCATTTAGTGTATAAATAACTGTAGTTTCAAAATTAATTTAACCTTAAACTTAAAAATCTGTAGTCAGATCAATACTTGAATAATCGAAATAAGAAAAAGTAAAATAATTGCAAAAATAATCAGGATAGGTTGTCAGTAATATTTTATCTTTGTAATTTGTATCTTAATTAAGTTATTATAAAAAGAAACCCCCAAAAAACATACCAATATCTCTGATGTTTGCTGAAGTTCTAAAACCATTAAAGATACTATTTTAGAATTAGAATTTGGGCTAAGAATTTTAGTTTAATAAGACTCCTTCTACTGGATTTTAATCAGAGTAAAGCGTGATTAAAAGTGTGCTCAAATGGGTAGAGTAATTTTCTCTATCATAGTTTTAAAACACTCCAAATATCTAATATTTGAAGTAAGAATATAGAATATCATCACAGTATATGTCATAAGTAAAACTTCTATACTCCCATTATTTTACATTACTGTCATAATCTCTCAATAGAGTTATATGAGAATATTTTGTATAAGTGGTAAGATGACTTTCAAAATTCATGCACAGACAAATATCATTCTTATTAAAGGTTTCAGTGAAATTGAATACAGATATCTTTGCAATGTAGTTATTTTATGAAGCGGGAAAACGAGAACTTGAAAAGCTGAATCCATGCTCTATATCATAATCGCTATTACCTATTCTAAAAACATTATATGTCCCATCATTTAATATAGGCTGAGCCCAATAAAATGCTCTGGGATCATTTGCCTCAACAAAGAATACTAAATGATTATAATCATATTCCTTCCCTTCTATTTTCTTTGCTGAGAGCCGTCTAAGTGCATACCAATCAGTACTAAATACTTAAGCAAAATAAACGTCCCCATTTTGAATTACCATAAAATTTATTCTGCCTTCAGATTTTAAAATACTTATTGGAATAATCTAAGAAGGGTTCAATGAGTTATCTATATCTACCTTGTACTGAAAATTACAATAATGGAGTCTATTAAATATCTCTAAACCACTCAATCGGTCACCTCCGAAAATAGCTATTTTCCCATCAGAAGAAAATGCCATATCATATATTTCATTTGATTACCAATTTTAGATTTTTAAAGAATATTGCTCTCTACCTCCTACAGAAAGAACAAGAACATACAATTCTTAATTTGTTGAGACAGAAAAAAAGTAAGCATATTCTACCCTGCTATCATATTTAGAGAAGATTAGTGATTTTTATTCTTCAACATTATTGTAAATTTATGGAAACCTGCTATAGCAGACTTGGCTTAATAAATAATTAGTTGTGAGAATATAAAATATCGTTAAAATGAATATGCAACTCATTTTTTGTTTTATTGGCAGAAATACATTCCAAAGAAGGCATTTGCTATTGTATTATACAGACATTATGTTTAAATAAACTATTTTTAATATAATTAAAAGATATTTCTAAAGAGCAATATTCAATTTAAATGTAACTTCATGGGGTTTTGGGGTTTTGGGG